AAGCCGGAGTACCCGGAGGGAACCCACGCAAACACGGGGAGAACATGCAAACTCCACACAGAAAGACCACGGCCTGATGGTGGAATTGAACTCAGGACCTTCTTGCTGTGCGGCAACAGTGCTAACCACCGTGCCACCGTGCCTGTTTCTAACAATGACTGTGTTTTCTACAGTCATTGGTTTCTACACTCATTTTCTATGAGCGCTTGATCTTTGTTGTATATTTGCTGCTATGACAACTCAATTGCCTTCTGGGATTAATAAAGTCTCTCTGATTCTGATTCTGAAATGACAGATAGAACAGGAAAGAAAGCCACAATAAGTCACTCAGTGTCAGCATGACAGATATTAACAGCATAATAAGGCATATAATAAGAAAATGAAGAAGAGGTGGAAAAAGCAATGGGATGAAAAAAGAAAAGGAAGGTTGGTTTTACAAAATCCAAAGGAAAGTAGGAGAGAGGAGAAGCACAGGAAGGAACAGCATAGAGAAGATCACATCTTTGACTTGGGCATACAGGTCAGCACAGCACAACACATTATTTTTAATAGGATAGCATTATACAGGAAAATATGACAGCAATAGAGAAGATGAGACCATAGAGCGTGATTTAGCGCATTATCGGAAATATGAGGTTGAGAGAAGACAGCTAATCCAAAAATTTCCATGAAAAATCAACAAAGTCCAGTTTCATTATTTCAAAAGAGCTCAAGAAGTGTCTCAGCAGGCCATATTGTGCTCTTTAACACACCATGTTTTTTTTTGTTTGGTTGTTTTTTTAGTAATTTCGGTCCACACTCCATACCAAATGGTGGCGGTAATGCACCGTCGTTGTTTGAAAACCACCAACAGAAATAGCAGAAGGAAGAAGAATAAGTTGTTTGTTTGTTTTTTTCCCAACAAGGCTTTATTCAACATATGTACAAACAAACAAAGGCATCTATTTGTCAACTGAAATCACGTATCTTAACTGCAATGCAGGTATACTTATATGTTCATTTAACAGAAGAAGAAGTAGTGCATTTTGGTCTCTATTTCGGACTTTTCTGTATTTCTTGAGGAACTTGAACGTAGCAAAGGTAAACGGATGTGACGCGGGTGAATGACGTAGGCAGCATTGCTCAAGATGGCTACGCTGGTGTCGTTAATGGTCAAGTCCAGAACAGGTATCAAACATTTCAGTGAGTGCGGCAAACTTTCAAACGGACATTACAGATTACTGCTCACACGAGCACCGAGCGGCTTTGAAGTTTGCGCAAGTGCTTCTGTCGAAGTGTAACTTGGCAACCACTGTGTCCTAACTTGTCTGCATGTGAGGTAGCGCTGAATGTCACGATGCAGATCAAATGAAGAGCGAATAGGATTTGTTCTTTTAAAATATTAACGTACACTTCACTGTTGATGCAATTTATTGATTCTCCTCAGTTCTGCTAGTTTAAGATACGTGGGACACGTCTCAATAAATGCAATATAGATCGTGTTCACTGTAAGCTAACCCTGTGTGTTGATTGAAGACCTCATACCACTAGGTAACAGTCAGGGCATAATAGTGGGGCAATATCATGTCCTACATATAGATTTTAAAAAAGTGTCACGTGCCGAAACTGGATTTAAAGCGAAAAAAAACTCAAGTGAACGCGCTTGTTTTTCTGATTTCAGGTTTGTTGGTACCTGGTCAGCTCTCTCTGCTGGACTCGGTGAGGTTTGCGTCTAAGAAAGCCGGCGGCAGCAGCAAGAACCTCGGAGGAAAGAGCCCTGGAAGAAGATATGGCTTCAAGAAACAAGATGGTAGCAGCAAACAATTATATCCATATATTTGTATTCCAAGTTAGGACCTGCTCTAGCCTGCAGTATTGGGATGTGCAGGTGAAGTTAACAGGATGTGGGACAGTTAATGTATTTTTGTGCTTTCCATTAGTTTTTATTAGCATTTAGTTTTAATGTTTGCTTGTGGGTTTTTTTCCAGAATGGGTCTGCTCAATTCAGTTTCGTTTATATTGGTTTCATGTTTAGCTTTTGTTATTATGATATGAGCAGCATTTGTCAGACTGAGAAATTCAGAAGAATGCAGTGATACAGCAATACAGACACTTGACACATGTCACTGATGGCTTCTAAAACTGGTGGCATTGCTGAATTTGACTTTTCATAGCGTAAGCAAGAAGTGTATACAATAGCTAGAATTGGCATAAAAGGTCAGGGCTGGAATTTATTTTTTATTTTTCCCCCTCTTCCGTGTGGTAGGAAACTTTGTCCATGCTGGTAACATCCTTGCAACACAGAGGCTGATGCGGTATCACCCAGGAGCTCATG